GGTAACTGACCCATCAATTTATGATAAACCATTGGAGGCCAAGCAGAACTATGCTTCCCCAATTCACTCACAATACACTAATAAATGCTCTCTTTAAAAAAGGTTAAAAACATAAGGTTTACATACATGAGAATATATAACCTGTCAGGTGAAGAAAACAATGTGAGGCGGGAAATATGACCTTATAACATACATAATTACATAAGTTCCTCTGAATAACAGATTTTTAAACATGATACATTTTACTGTTGCCTAGGTAAATATAACGCTAAACATTCGCACCCGTATTAACTAAAATTATAGTGAAAGTACAAATTATACAGAAATTGTCGAAATTATATGGAAATTTATATGGTTTATGGCTTTAATACATAAGAAGGTTAAAACTAATGCGGTTTATGGCCTTAATATATCATAAAAAACTATATGGACCTTTTTCTTTTGAACCAATATAAAGGGTTTTTATTTATTTATTTATAAAGCATAGACGTCCACTTCCCCATGTGACATTTCAACCTCCATCGGAAAAATATCGGACCAATATGTCTATATCTTCACCACATGCCACTTCAGCTCTACTAACGACAGAGTAAAAAGTACTAACATACCAGAAGGTGATTCATTCTAAAGTTTATTACTGGATAACACTTTTTATAGAAGTATCAGGCCTACAAGGTACCAACCTCATCTCCTCGTCCTTGAGCATTCTGGTACATTGTTGTCAGTTCTTGATGTGAGGAGAATTGGACATATACATTCCTTCCCCTAATATCATAGAAAGTATAAACTGAGATTAAAATGTATATGATATTAAAGACTAAACCAGAAATGGAAACAAATTTTTACTTAAATTGCTATGCAAATCACAATATATAGAGCGTAATACAGAGGGGGGGGGGGGCACCATTTTTTACCTTATGGCAGGCTGAACATTTGCATAGAACTGCAGTGCACTGACTGCAGCAGCAGTATCTTGCATTTGGATAAGAGCCTGCACATGTAGCAGATTTCACATGACACATACAACATAAACCCTCTATCTCTAGATTCTCTACCATATTGTAATGAGAATTTAAAGAAACCTGATTTTTTGCACGAAGCATCACAAGCTTAGTTATGACTCCAAATGGCTGAAATAGCTGAAGCAAATCATTCTAGTAGACCAACATAAGATTCGTCAGAAATAGTTAAAAGAAATAAAAGCATAATAAGCTCAAAATGATTCTACCACGTAATACTTATATGTAACAAATTAAAGAATTAAACTCCTTTAAAGAGAAAGGTACTTCCCTCTAAAATCAGCACTAATTCTCATTATTCATCGTATCAAACCATTCTCTTCACATTTAAATATAGTGAAAGTCAATTAAACATAATTTTCTTCTGGATTGTCCAAGAAGCACTAAACTCATCAGTATAAGACTCTATGCTTCTAGTTTTAGGAGACCAGGAATTCAACCCAAGTAAACATTGTCAATCATACAAATTTTTGGAAAGCCATCAAAACAAATCTAAAATTTTAAATCCGCTGAATCTCGGCATTTGCAGAGACACAGTGAAGGGCATAAACATACTTCAGAAATTTCATGCCCCACGTTTCGAACATGAATGACTTTAGAAGGTTCTGTCATCGTGGAAAACCCTGCAACAACCCAACCAACCATAGCCAACCACACATTAGCATTTTCAGGCACAACCCAATTTCAAACAACACCAAATACACCATAGCTGTGTAATAGCAATGCAAATTCTTAAGTTCGGTGAAAACCCCAAATTAACCAGATAAAAGTGGGCTTCAAACAACAATAATTCCCTTCAAAATACAAAAAATTATTGAGCTTTTCTTCAAAAAATTAATTAGAATACCAAATTAAGCTTCTTTTTTTTTCAGAGGGCAAAACAGTAAACGAAAAGGGGAAACTGAGCTGACAAAATTGATAAATAACTCAAAGCCTAAAGACCTGTTTGGTTGCCGAGAAAGCAACGGAAGGAAAATATAGCTGCAGAATCAAACACGTCCAGTGACGTATTAGATCCCAGTTACCGGATTATGATTTTCCCTGGCTATTTCTCTACAACCAAACGCACCTTCATATGCTTAAAACGACATCGACAATGAAAGGTAAGACGGAGGAAAGGGACTTGCCTCTGAGAGAGATAGAGAGAGAGAGAGAGAGAGAGGGAGAGAGAGACAGAGCGATCGAAGGAGGTCGGAAGTGAAGAGGGAAACTCAGTCAGGGCCGCAAAGAGAGAGAGAGAGAGATCGAGTGTTTGACATGTAATTGCAAGATATGGTTAGATTGGAATGCGCACAATCAAAGTACAACAAACACCCACACCCATTTGCCCTAACCTAAACTTGGATTTCAAACACGTGCGAGGCCAGGGTCAGTCCTTGGACCCCACTAAAACCATAAAAAATGTAAGGCCTAATCGGGCAAATAGTCCTCATTGTTGCAAAGTATTCGAAAAATAGCTCATAGGTAAAACAATTCGAATTTAAACTCCTGTGTTGAAGTTTGTTATGATTTATGTCAAAAATCAAAGTTTCTGTCATTTCTCCATTAATAGCGCACAAGTGAGCCTCGCGTATTTAGCCTCACACTTGAGGGTCATGTGTAGGTTATCAGAGGAATAACAGAAATTTTAATTTTGGACATAAATTCTAACAAACTTCACCATAAGAGTTTAAATTTGAATATTTTTACCACAAGAGCTGTCTTCTGAATATCATGTAACCACGAGGACCATTTATTCAATTAAGAAGACTAATTTGCATTATGGTTAAAAAAACGTTTGGTAAAATTAAATATTTCACTTATTATAGAAATAATGACCTTTGGACAATAACTTGTAAAAAGTTGTTTGTAGGTTACTTTATAAAACTACTTCCATAAAAAGCAGAGTTGAGCATATAATGAATATTTTAAATTCTTGTAATACCATTATTAATTTAACAATGACATTATTTATTCTTTTATACACATTTTATCTCTAAAGTAACAAAGTGATTGTCACCACATACCACTACAACCACTAATCTTACACCACTACCACAATGGTCACCACCATTGCCACCAACACAACAATCACAACCGCCACCACTACCGCTACAACCACAACACCACCTCCACCACCGCATTGTTGTCACCACAACCACAATTGCCACCACTACCACCATCGTCATTGTTGCTTCCCTACCACCATTGTTGTTATCTCTGCACCACAACCATCACACCCAACTATTGGCACCACCATCATAGCCTCACCATTGTCGCTGCCATCACCAATGTCGCCCTCACCGCTATAGCCGCTACCACCTATATAATTGCAATCACCAACCTTACACAACCATGGAGATCACCTCTTTCGCTACCATCACTATTACCTATACACCACAAAACACCACACCCTACTAGTGTCACTACCTCCCTACCTCCACCATTGTTGATGTAAAATAACCATAATTGCCTTTGCTACCGCTTATCGTTGCCACCACCGCCACTACATGTCCATTTTTTTTATCATATACAAACTTATATAAATTTACCAAGCGTTTTTACACTATCTCTCATGCTCATATCACTTTTAAAATGGATGCTATCCACACACCCCTTTTTACTTCTCACACACCCCTTGTCAATTTCTGTCCATTGATCTTCTTCAATTCATATGATCCGACGGCCGAAACCAAAAAAATGTGAGAGAAGTAAAAAATGGTGTGTGGATATCACACCCCCTTTTAAAAATATAGTTTATCAAATACTCATTTGCTTATGTTACAACTGATTATTCTTAAAGAAAAATCGGTTTTTTTTTAATTTTTTTAAATTTTTTTAAAGCACATCAATCCAAACTGCTCTACAATGGTTTAGTGGTATTCCTCTTCCTTGATAAATAGTCTTAGGTTCATATCTCGTAAATGACGATTTTGAAATCAATTTATTCCACCACCCTCTCTGTGTAAATATATATTTTTTAAATAAATTAAAAAAATGTAAATTAGTTGAGTCAAGCTCAAGTTCAGCTTCAATGCTATATTTGCGTTGGCTAAATCTAAGTTACTTGATGAATAAGGACAACTAATCGTCGCTAAACCCTTCCCTTGGCCTGTAGGGGGCAATTCCTCTTAAGTCTCTTACCCTTCATGTTTCTCTTATCTTCCAAGTCTCTTCCCCACAATGTTTCTCTAATCTTCTAACCATCTTCGTCTTCGGGTTGTTATCGCGCTCTCGCTCTGTCCAGGTGAACATTTGGTAAAGACCATGGCTACTGCTGTTTGAGCCACAAATACATTCCAAACAGTTAGCACCAAGTGCCACACTACCCCAAACGGATGCGATCAACCGACCCATAATTTTGACAATATGCTCCAACCTTTCTTTATGACAATGGTAAGATCACATAATTTGTCCAAGAAATCACGCCAAGTCACTAAAAAGTATATCAGGACCTTATATGCACTCACCGGTCACCATTTTTTTTTCCTAAAGGAAACAAGTGAAGACAAGAAACGATTATCCACACCTTCCAGATCCAAAGACACTTTGAACAATTTCACCCTACTCGACCACAATCAAATAGACTCATTAACTTGGAACATCAAACCCGGAACCTCCCACATTTTTTTTTTGTTTATTGAGAAACCACAATCAGCACCCTTACCAATGAACCACTTGCCGTTGTTCACCAGTCACCATTTATTTTTGAAATTCGAAGGAAACAACTGTTGACAAGAAACGATTATCCAAACCTTCCAAACTCGGAAAGACTGAGAAATTCCACCATACTCAACCACAGTCAAACAAACTTACCAACTCGGAGCATCAAACCTAAAACCTCTCACATTTTTTTGTTTATTGAGAAACCACAGTTCGCGCTCTTACCAGTAGACCACTTGTGGTTCACCAGTCACCGTTTATCAATCAAATAACTTTTTCCAACCCTCTAGTTTTCTCCCCTTATCCCCGTGATTTTAGCCGTCAAATGAGCAGTCATTAAAAACAGGTTCAAAAGTAGTAATTCTAAAAATAACCATCAAATATTCAAGTACTTCGAAGAAAACAAAACTTAATCCTCACCGTTCAACATCCTCGGCAATTCAAACCAAAACAAACCATGAAAAACAGAATTGTTGCAACTTACTGTCTTTTGCATAGAAACTAAAAACTCGACTACTACTTCGATAGCTATTAACTCTTGGGGAGTTCTCATCCTTATGCCTTGAGACGTCCGTAGTACTTCTGTTTCTCCTGTGTTGTCTGGAAGCGACCATGGCCAAACTTTGAGGAGGTATCGATGAACTTGAGCTTGATATCCTCGAGAGCAAGACGAGAGGTCTGCTTGAGAAGGGACTGGCGAAGAGTGACGACCCTCTTCTTAGGTCCAACACAGCATCCCTTGATCAGAATGTAGTCATCCTTCACCACACCATAGTGAGGGAAGCCACCAATGGGAGTGATGTCTTTCTCGGTCCTGAAACATCATCGATATCAGCATATTTTCTAAAGAAACACGAAACTAAAACCTAAACCAAGAACCCAACAAAAACTAAAGAGGAACCAACAGGACATATGCAGAGTACTAAAATCATGCAAGTTTATTAAGTTTACTAACCTGTCAAACTCAGTGACAGCAGTGTGTGACTCCTGCCCAGCCTTTCCGAGCTTATAAATCTTCTTGTTCATCTCAGTCCGGTGGTGGTATCCATTCTGACCAGCCCTGGCAACTGTAAATGAGACTCTAGCAGGATGCCAGGCCCCGATACAAGCCACCTTCCTCAGACCCCTATGAGTCTTGCGAGGAAGCCGGGTAACACCCCAACGAGTAACAACACCTTCATAACCTTTACCCTTTGTGACACCAATGATGTCAATCATTTCATCCTTCTGGAAAACAGCATCAATAGGGATCTGCTTCTCAAAGAAGCTTTTGGCAAATTCAACTTTCTGGGCAATGGTTCCTCCATTCACCTGGATCTCCATAAGATGTGCTTTCTTTTGTTTCAATCCCTTCATCTTCCTAATCTGCAGATGTAAAATACAAGCACAACTACATCACTTTTTTTTGGACAAAGGAACAAAAACATCACTGAAGGACCATAAAAAGGACATAACAGTAAGATATAACAAATACTACGAGAAACAACTTAAATAAAAAATTAAAAAAATTACTTAACAAGCACATGCGACATCAATCAAGAGTTCCATAGAGCATAACATTACTTGTTTCAATGCAATGTTGCAGCTATTATAAAAACTGTATTTGGAATAATATCTAAAAACGAAGCAAAAAAAACATGACAAACATTAGCCTCCAAACAATTTATTCAATCTAGCTGAACAAATAAAATCAGAACTACATTTTTTAAAGACGAATTTGTAGGGTAAACTGGCTGAAGGTTCTACGAAGCAAATATCAAATATCATGACAAAAAATACCCAGACTAAACAAGAACAGCATCAATTCCACAAAGTCCAATCAATACCTGAGTGTGAGCCAACACCCGGATGACAGTAGCATACTTGATAAGTTTCTCAAACTGGGATTCAATACTCTTCTTTCCCTCCTCACTTTCATAGTTCTTTGAGTACTTTGAGAAAGCCTTCTTCTTGGACTTGCACCAGTTCTTGTAGAACCTCCTCTTCACCTCCTCACTCAGATGCTGAGCCCACACTGTGTTCAGAGAACGAAGGCCACGTGGTGTCTTCACATAACCAACAACTCCAACAACCACCATGGGAGGAGCCTCAATGATAGTAACAGCCTCGCACGTCTCCTTCTTGTGAAGCTCTAAAGAGATTAAAAGTTTGTTAGAAAAAAAACAACTAACATTGATACCTCAAACACTCACATTTTCTGCTTGCTAAGTGAACCACTTGAACGCACACGTCAGAAGAAAAAAAAAGCACAAATTCGTGTTGAACTTATTTAAGCATTGTATTTTGTGACAGTAAATATGAAACAGAAGCATGTTTCCAACCTAAGTATCCAACATCTCTTATTGACCTTCTCGATCAAGCACAAAAGAAATCATAAAGTTAAGGAACTATGTTATATATCGGTAACCCCATCAACAAAATATATGACCTAAAGAGATGTTAGTTAGAGCGTCGCATACTTGATCCAGGCTTCTCAACATCTCTGACAATGTGAGTCATCCCGGCCTTGTAACCAAGGAAAGCAGTCAGCTTGCAGGGTTTGGATGGGTCATCCTTGGGGAATGCCTTCACTGCATGACCACAAAATTGACAGAAGAGTGAGTGATACATAAATACAAATAAACACAAACAAATTACACCGATACAGACATTCACACTAAACGCTAACTATCAAAACACAAACTTTTAAAATCTTTACAAATTGTTTTACAAAAAGGAAAAGCGTAAGCATTCGGCTTAAATATAGAAATATCATATTCAATACAATACTTGTTAACAAACAAACCACTGGCAAGCAGATGATAAAATATTGTACAAATCTCTTCGATGTAAACTGTAAGCCAAAGGAAGGAGCTATATATACCTTTGCCTCTGTGACGAGCGGCACGCTTCCTTGGAAGAAATCCAAGGGATCCATGTCTGGGGTGCTCAAACTTCCTGTGAGACATCTTCCTCCTCTTCCTTTAATCGAAAAAAGGCAACAGAAATCAATACAAATAAAACCCAGATGTCCATACATGTTATTGAAAAATATTACAGGATCTAACACCAAATTTTAATAGTGACACAACGATCTATACATATATAATATAATTATATATTGAACAATAATAGCATTCAGAAACCAAACAATCTCAGTATATTCCAACCTTACAGAAACCAATATATATTTTACAAAAATGAATCAAATTCAACTAAAAAACGAGATTAAAACCCTACAACATGATCGAATCCAAATAACTTTCATGGACAATACGCAAACACAAGAAAATCCCAATTTACCAGAAGACAAGCAATGGAGAGAGAGAGAGAGAGAGAGAGAGAGAGAGAGAGAGAGATAAACACACACACAGAGAATGAAGAGAGATACAGACACAGAGAGGAGCAGAGGGAGAAGGAACCTGAGCTTCTAGCTAGCTGCGGCGAAATGCACCCACTCAGTATGAAGAATAAACCCTAGTAGCTCTGTGGGGTTTAAATAATAACCCGATTTTCGGAAAATGCCCTACATTTTATTTAAATTGCGCAAAAGCCCAGTTTTTCTTTTTTAGGTACATTTGTGGGCCCAAAGCCCAAACCGAGCTACAACATAACGGGCCTTTTTTTGGATGAACACTTTGCCATTCCCCAATCCTCCGGTTTTTTTTTATTTTATATTTTATTTTTTCTACCCTGGATTGTCATGGATAAAACTATATAATATCTCGGGTAAATTTCAGTTTACTATCCTTAAGTTTCGTGGTTTTCAACATTTGCTACATGAAGTTTTTTTCATCCCAAAGTCATACCTAAAGTGTTAATTTTGAGACAGTCTCATACATTCGTTAGTAAATCTCCCGTTAACTAATGATGTGGTGCCCATGTGAACAATGATTGGGCGCCACGTGTCATTAAGGAGTCCATGTGGAAATTAAAAATTACAACAACAACAAAGCCATTTCCCACTAAGTGGGGTCAGCTATATGAATCCTAAAACGTCATTGTGCTCGGTTTTGTGTCAAGTCCTCTGTTAGATCCAAGTACTCTAAATCTTTTCTTAGAGTCTCTTCCAAAGTTTTCCTAGGTCTTCCTCTACTCCTTCGGCCCTGGACCTCTGTCTCATAGTCGCATCTTCTAACCGGAGCGTTAGTAGGCCTTCTTTGCACATGTCCAAACCACCGTAACCGATTTTCTCTCATTTTTCCTTCAATTTCGGCTACTCCTACTTTACCTCGAATATCTTCATTCCTAATTTTATCATTTCTCATGTGCCCACACATCCAACGAAGCATCCTTATCTCTGCTACATCCATTTTATGTATGTGTTGATGATTCATCACCCAACATTTTGTGCCATACAGCATCGCCGGCCTTATTGTCGTCCTATAAAAATTTTCCTTGAGCTTCAGTGGCATACGACAGTCACACAACATGCCGGATGCACTCTTCCACTTTATCCATGGTTGAGGTCTCCATCTAATTCTCCGTTCTTTTGCAAGATAGATCCTAGGTAGAGAAAATGATCACTCTTTGGTACTTTCTGATCTCCGATTTTCACCCCTAACTCATTTTATCCTCCATTTGCACTGAACATGGAAATTAAAAATTAAAAAAAAAAAAAAATCCCGCCCAAATTTTAACCCATAACTGTGTACTGCCTTTCTTTTTTCCCGCCAAAATTTTTTACAACAAAGTTTAATATTCCAAGTTGTACACCCTTCAATTCATAGGAAAGTATCAAAAGACCACAACTTTAACAACTAATAAGTAAAGGTGTTCTTCCAAAATATAAGTACACAACTAAACCAAAATAAGAGTACCAAAAACACCAAAGATCTGTCCAAAACACTAAAGATCTATCCGAAAATTGTTTCCAAAAAAACTAAGGGCATATTCAACAATAACAAAATGAACCCTTAAACAACCTAAAGCATTAAAGCATCATCATGGAACATTCATCCTCCTTTTTCTGACCTGTTGCAGTAGACTTTGAAGTGGTTTGAAAGACTTGAGTTGGCTGAGATGAAGTTTGTGGAGCTTCCCGAGTGCATGGCTGTGATGACTGAGAGGGTTGTAATGCTTTAGATGTTGAGGCCTAATTAATGAACCTATAAAACATTAGCACTTATAGATACTACATTTCACAAATAACAAATTCACTTAAGAAATGCAAAATCAACAAAAAATATCAAAATTATACCTCATTTTTCTTGTTTTTTTCTTCCTTTTTCTAGCATTTGGAGGAGGATTAGTGGTTGGGCATCTGGCCTTGTTGTGTCTTGAGCCCTTGCAAACACTACACTTCACACTTTTTTGTCCTCTCTTGCTTAACTTGAATTCATTTTCATCACCTTCGCTATTTCTCTTCTTTTTTTTGTCTCTCAAGCTGCCTTTTAAAAGTTGGAGGAATAATGCATTTGTTTTCAGATGGCTCCCAATATTTCATGCCTTGGACAGGTTGAATCAGGTTTTCGTAAGTTTCAAAGTACTTCCCATTCTTATACCAAGAGTAAACAAATTCCTTAGGCTGTCTCCTTGCATAATAGATAGCCGAGCAACCATGCATGTAAGGAAAGTTTGTCAAATCCCATCTTCTGCATGAGTAAGTGCACTAATTCAAATCCACCACGAATATATTGCCTTTGCCTTCATCCACTTTAATTTTTTCTCCTCCAGACCATGTAGCTATAGTGTATGAGCTTTTCAGCTTGTACTCTTCCAAGTTTTTTTGGATTTTTGGGCAGATAACTTCTTTATCCTTCCTCATTACATTCTCAACCATATCCTCTTCATCAATAAAACTCTTATAGTTTCCAGCATGGTAATAATAGGCTTGTCCTTAGCCCTTAGGATAAAAGAATTGAAGCTATCATATAGATGTTTAAGAAAATGTCACACTAAATGTGTGTCTTAAAGTTTGACACACTCCAGTGCAAGGCTAGTCTCTTCACCAACCATTTATAAGCTTCATTATTTAGCCTATTCACCTCAGCTATACTCTTTCTAAAATCAGCAATGGTTGTTGACTTGGCAGCATTCCATAAGGCATCTTTTAATCATTTCCCTGTAAACTCATCTGCCTTGTAGTTGGTGTATAAGTGCCTAACACATAATCGATGATTACAATTAGGTAGTACCTTCTCAAAAGCTGGTATTAAACTCTTTTGTTTGTCAGAAATGAAAGTCCAACCACGCTGGTTCACAATTCCCAAGTCAACAGCTAGCAGTTCCAAAAACCAAACCTAATTGTCCTTGTTTTCGAGCTCTACTATGGCATATGCAATAACCCAAGTTTGGTTATTTGTATCCACTCCAACTGCAGACAATAACTGGCCCTTGAACACTCATTTCAAGTGACAACCATCAAACCCTACAAGCTGCCTACATCCATTCTTAAATCCATTTTTGCAAGCCCCCAAACAAATATAAATCTTCTAAAATATCACATGAGCATAATCATAGGGCAACACTTTTATCTTAACTGTACTACCAGGGTTTATCCACCTAAGCTCATCACAGCACTCTCACAACTTTATGTATTGAGCCATGTTACTCCCCTCAAGGATTTTCAAACAATGTGCTCTTACTCTGTAGGCTGTTTTGAGGTGGATCTCAACCATTCTTTCCTCCTTTACTGCATCCATAAATGTAGTGATATGCATGATTGGGTTGAGTTTAAACTTGTTTACATACCTCTTCACAAGCCATGCCACTTTGCAGTTAGGATTTTCCCTCCAAATCCTCGGACATTCATGTTTCCCAACATAAGTTTTCACTTGCATTAAATCTTCATTGTACATCCTGGAAGCATACAATCTCCATGGACAATTTTTCTCACACTTTGCACTAATCTTCCATTTCTCATTCATTTTTAGCTTAATAGAAGGTGCATCATGCTTGGAGTGAGGCTACACTGTCTTTCTCAACTATGCAGCATCTCTGAACTTCAATCCATTTTCAAACTTTGGATCATCCTTGTCGACTTCTTCATTGAACTCAGGGTAGATGACATTCTCATCACATTTTGAACCTGAATCGTCAACACTGTGCAGGCTATCTGAATCTTCTCTCTCATCATCAAGGAGAACATCTTCTACATCCCTTGCATCAATAACTTCTTCTAAATGTTAGTTCCCAAGCCCTTCACCCCTTTCAGCATCTCCAATCATAGTGTTTACAACCGTATCATCTACTGCACAACAATCATCATCTTCCAAACTGTAGTCACTGTCCATAAACTCACTATCAGTAGTGTCATCCTCTGCATTCACTGCCACAAACAATGCATATTTGTTAAAAACCTAAACTTTGCAAAAATAATTGAATACTGAAATTAAAATTGCAAAAATAAATGTTTCAAAATTTTTACCTTCATTACCTTCTAGTTTAGCCCCTTCATTAACTTATTCAGCTTCGTGACCTTCTTCACCTTCATCACCTTCATCATCTTCATCACATTCATTATCACCATTGAAAGGACCATCTTCAGCCTCATCTCCATTTCCTTGTCCTCCCTCAGTTGCTTTAGCCTCATGTTCATCATCGACATAGTCGTTTTTCTAAGTGATCAACACCCCATTTTGCTATACCCTTCTTTAATTTTGATCCACTTCTCTTTGTAATCGAAATTTCCACCCTCGATTCCTTAATATCATCAATAATGACACCTTTTTTTAATATGCCATTCTCATCGATTCATCAAAAACTTATGTTTCATGGCAGCTTGCTTCAAACTTAGATGTTTTAGGTACATTTCCATTTCCTTAGTCCATGGAACATACTTGCACATTTTACCCACATCTTGGTCCCGATCAACAGGCCTTAATCCCTCCTTATAAGACATCCCAGAAATCCTATAGTGATACAAGATAAACCCGTCATATCCTAACTTCTTAACCATTTCATCAATCTCGAAAAAAGACATGAAATCTTTGTCTACATAATCAAACCAAGCCTCAAACCCTCCCGTATATGCATTTTCAGACCACTTCCCACCGTGGTTAATTTTAAGGGTAAATAATTCAGGCATGCCAGCAAAGTCAAGGAAAAAGGTTTTAAAACCCAAAAAGTTAACCCAAAACACTAACTTGTAGGACCATGAAGACAAAAAGGTGAAAACAAAACCACATGGTTTTTCAAAGGCTGCAATTGAGACCACGAATGAAGACAAAACCACATGCACATTGAAAACAATTAACAATTCAAGAAACCCACTACACAACACAATTCCAAAAACCATAGGAAAAAAAAGGGATTAGAACTCACAAATCCCTAAAATTCAAAATTGAAAAATCGGAAAACCTAAACCCATATTATCTACACTTCGAAAAAGGTAGGTTACTTACAATAAACTGGTGTTTTAGCTACTTTAATCCTCATTTTTTGCCACCCCAACTCCAGTGATGGCTTCACGACAACCTTGCCTATAAACGGTGCCCATTCTTTGATGTGCAAAGGTATGCGCAACGTACGACGGTGTGCGACCGACAACGAGTTGGACCTATGGCAAGGTGGAGT